GGGCAGGCCTCTAATTTAGGGCCCGCTAGCGGACAAGCCCCTAGAATGCTAGGGCATACGACCCCTAGGGCTGTAGAGGATATAGGCCTTTGAAAAAGTGATTTAGGAGGTATAGTCGCTAAGCAAGCGATGTATATAAGGGTCGATACCTCTAAGCGAGACTCTAAGCGAGATATAGGGGCCACTACAGACGTCCTATAGCACCAACGCTATAGGCATCTAAATTTAGCGTATCTGGGGCACCTACACGCTGTAGTTACAGGCTTAGAGAAGCCTATTTCGGACCTTGTAGAGCCCTGTGAGGCCTATATACTTATAAAAGCAATACGCGTAGTAAATCGCTAGAGCCTAGAACATGCTATAGCACTACTTTAGCGTATACATATGGACTTTTAGGGGCCCTATAGCGTATAGAGCCTAGAAGGGCATACCTATATGCTTATGCTTACGGACGATTTTACTAGGAAGTCCTAGGTCTTACTTACTAAGGCTAGGAAGCATCTGCAGGACTTATTTATAAGTTAGAAGACTGCTAGGGAACTAGAAATAGGCCTGAAACTATAGGCTATAAGGCTAGATAATGCCCTAGAATTTAAGGCTCTAGGGGACTATCTAGGACTCTATAGGGTTTGATTTGAATATACTACAGCGTACTAGCTAGAGCAAAATAGGGTAGTAGAGCGCCTGAATAGGACTCTAATTACAGCGGCTTGCTTTATACTTTTAGACGCTAAACTCCCTATATGATTTTAGGGGCATGCTGTGGATATAGCATGTTATCTATATAATAGGACCTCTATAGGCCCTGAAGGGAAGATGCTAGAAGAAGCGTATAGCAGATAAAAGCCTAATATTAAGCACCTACAGGCATATAGCTGTATAGCCTATGCTTAAGTCCCTAAGGAGCGCTGTGGAAAGCTAGATCCCACAGCTATACGCTACGTATTTATAGGCTATATGCCTATAGCATATCAATATAGGCTATACGACCCTATAAAAGAGCAAATTATCACTTCTACAGCACTTATATTTACTGAGGATAAGCGCCTAATTTGGGACTAGCGCTAGCAAGTTATAGGGGTTGAAATTAACTCCTATGATCCTATGGAGGCCCCTGAAGAGCCTGTAACCACAGGGCAGCCGGAGCCTAAGAAAGAGCCTCCAGTGGGGCTAAAAGACCCTGAATCAGACATAGAAGACACTATTATAGTGGATACAGGGGTGCCATAGACGCCACAGCGTCCTAAAGGCCCTAAAACTGCAGAGCAGATTGCCCTAGAGGTTACCACTCGATCTAGGGCATCTAGGACACTAGGAGGAAGTGCTTTTAGTGCTTTAGGGGGCGCTTTCAGCGCTCTAGAGCCTATTGCAATACCTAAATTGTACGTAGAGGCTATATGTGACCCTATAAATGCGGCCCACTGGAACCAGGCTATTTTAGAGGAAATAGGGAAGCTATAGGCCTTGGATACCTGGATATATACTAAATTGCCCTCTGGAAAACAGCTTATAGGCTATAAGTAGGTGTTTATAGTAAAATACACTCTCATAGGCCTTATGGACCGCTATAAGGCTAGGCTAGTAGCCTAGGGCTTCAGGCAAGTCCTAAGGGATGACTACCTAGAGACTTTTAGCCCTACTATACGCTCTGAGAGCCTATGGATCCTCCTAGCTATAGAGGCATATGAAGGCTGGGAAATACGCTAAATTGATATAGTTAGTGCATATCTACGCTCTAAGCTATACGCTATAGTGTATATGAGAGCTCTGGAAGCTCTAGATAGCCTAGAAGGTTAAGTCCTTCAGCTAAATCGCTCCCTATATAGCCTGAAGTAGTTAGGGCGTAAATGGTATATCGAGGCCTCTAGAGGCTTAGAGACACTAGGATTTTAGCCTAGCTTTAGTGAACCTTCAGTGTTTAGGAACCCTAAAAGCGGTATAATTATCGGCCTCTATGTGAATGACATGCTTATTCTAGGGCCTAATTTATAAGGTGTATAGGAGGTTATTTAGGGCATAAGTGCCCTATAGGAGATCAAGGATTTAGGGGACATTAGTCTAATCCTAGGCATTCAAGTACGCTGAAACCGCTAGCATAATACGCTATCCCTAGGGCAGAAGTACTATATAAAGGCTCTAATTTAGCGATTCGGCCTCTAGGACGCTAGCACTATTACAGTCCCTATAGGGGATAGAAACGGTCTCTCTAGGAGGCTTTCCACTAAGCCGCAGACTGATTAAGCTCTGTACTAAAGCGCTATAGGGGCCTTGATGTGGCTAGCTAAGGGATTACGCCCTAATATTGTATACGCTATAGGGAGGCTCTCTTAGCACTATAATACCCCTACTATAAGGCACTAGAACGCGGTGCTTAGAGTTATCCGATACCTAAAAGATATAGCAGACTATAGCTTAAAATACAGCTCTCTAAGAGGAAAAGGCCCCGAACTATAGGGCTATAGTAATGCAGACTACGCTAGGGATATAGAGGATAGACACTTGATTTTAGGGCAGTTGTGGACCCTAGTAGGGGGCCTATTACCTGGAATAGCACTAAACAGCGCTCGGTAGCGCTATTAACTACTAAATCCGAGTATATAGCGCTTTTAGATGCTAGCAAGTAGAGCTAGTAGCTACGGGCTTTACTTAGGGAGCTACAGCGCCCTTAGTACCTAAGTCCTATGCTAGCAGCTCTAATTTATAGCAATAATCAAGCCTATATCGCCCTGAGCTAGGACCCTGTGGCCTATAGTTGTACTAAGCATATTAATGTCTGATATTACTATATTTAATAGCTTATAGCTTATGGAAAGACTACTGTAGCATACCTCCCTATAAGGGACATGCTAGTGGATATACTTACTAAACCACTGCCTGTTACAGCGTTTAAGCGCTGTATTTAGGACTTTTTAGGCTCTAGGGAGCTAAACGTATAAGGGTGGTGCGGGGTAATGCGGGGTAGTTAAGAGCGCCAGGAGCGCTAGGATTTTAGGGAGTTATATACTATATTTTTGTTTTTATACTCTCTTAGCGTGTTTTATAGTGGTTAATAAGGGGGCTATTATAGCCTGTAAGTGGCAAGTGGCAAAGCTTATAAAGCCTGTGGCGAAGCTTAGAAATAGCTATTTCTAAGCAGGTGGCAAAGCTTAGAAATAGGGCTTGAAGAGCCCTATATATACAGCATACTTCCCACTGTAGAACAGCAGTCAATTCAAGTTATTACCCCTAGAAACAACAGCTTGCTTACATTTTTGATGATATACATCATCCCAATCAGCCACAGAAATCTCCAGTCAACTTTCCGTCTGATCGCTTTGTCTTCTTCGGGGCTGAATGAGGATAAAAAGGCTATGCGATCAGCGGCGCTATCACTGTGTAAGCTGTCGGGCGTTGTGACCGGAGTTGTCCCATTAACAGGACTTGAGATCTTGTCTCCATCAACAGATTGCAACCCCATTCTGCAGTGGCGGTTAATAACAAAGTTGGAATACGATAGTCCTGCCCAAGTAGATGGATTTGGGAAACAGAATAGCTTATTAAGAGAGGAATAAATACGACCGGAAAACACCCATGGTAATGCCGAGAACCAAGTTGTTCTTTTCGTCGGCATCTTTATCTATCGGCGCTTTACTAGCTCTAGGCCCACTAAGCTCCTGCATGGTGCCGCACATACAGCATGAGCAGCAGTGTGTGATAATTCGCTAAAGCACGCAATCACCCCTCCACTCAGGGGTAGCGAAAGAGCAGCGACCCCGCATCCCGAGTCAATTGATTGCAAACAAACAGCCCACATGATTCGACAGCGAGCAGAAACGTCATAAAGACTGTTTCATGACAGGAGTATGTGTAAAGAGTGGGAGTCGTGATAGCAGTATGTGTGAAGAGTGGGAGTAGCTGTCTAATGATGCCATTCGCAACTTGATTGACGTGCGAGAATGCGGTTAGAGTGGGCCAGGTATAGGTAGCGAGGGGAAATGATATTTATGAATAACAACAACAACATGATAGAGATATCTTGAGTTTCCTCACTTCGCGCTACAGTATCCGCATCAATTCTCAACCACAGAGCAACAATGGCCGACGAACAATCAGGCAGCGAGAGTCGAAACGACAGGCCCAAGAAACAAATCCTACTTAATGCATTTGACATGTCAACAGTAGGGCATCTGAGTCCCGGACAGTGGAAAGTAGGTTTCATTCCATAGTACAAGTAGAAACTTGCGTATCAAAAGTGCTAATGCTCAACATAGAATCCTAAAGACCGCTCGGCCGAGAAACGAAGTCTAAAATACTGGACTGATCTAGCACAGATCCTCGAACGGGGAAATATCAACGCCTTGTTCCTAGCTGATACATACGGCGGATATGATACATACGAGGGGAGTCTGGATAACTGTATCCGTCGAGCGGCACAATGGCCAGTGACAGACCCAACAATTGTGCGTCTACAAAGCTTTCATTACTAGAAGAAAGCGTGCACTATCCCTACCTTATAATTAGCTAACGTTCTTTAGCCAATCAGCGCCATGGCAGCAGTAACAAAGAACCTAGCCTTCGGCATCACAGCCAGCACGAGTTTCGAGCCGCCCTTCCTCCTCGCAAAGCGCTTTTCCACTCTCGATCACCTCACAGATGGCCGTATCGGCTGGAACATCGTAACGTCGTGGAAAAAGAGCGCCTTCAAAGCCATCGGCATCGATACACCCATCGAACACGACCAGCGGTACGCCAGCGCAGATGAGTATCTGCGCATCCTCTATAAATTATGGGAAGGCTCTTGGAGCCCCGATGCTATTATCAAGGATGTGGAGAACGATGCGTATGTTGACCCTGACAAGGTACGGCAGATAAACCATCATGGGAAGTATTTCAACCTCGAGTCGAGACATATTGTCGATCCCTCGCCTCAGAGAACCCCTTTCTTATTCCAGGCCGGCACGTCTCCGTAAGTCAAGTCCAACTTTTCCCGCATGCCTTCAGTAAATTGATGAGATTATCCACTTAGCGCTGGCTCGGCATTTGCCTCCAAGCACGCTGAAGCCATATTCGTCACCGGCCACGCCCCCTCAATCCTCGCACCCAAAATCGCTCACATTCGTGCTCTCGCCAAAGCAGAAGGTCGCGACCCCGCCTCTATCAAATTCTTCTGCACCTTCACGCCTATCATCGGGCGCACCGACGCGGAAGCGCAAGAAAAGCTCGCGGAAGTCAAGAAATACGCGTCCACAATTGGAGGTCTAGTCCTGGTCAGTGGCTGGACGGGAATCGATCTCTCGAAGCTGCCGCTGGGGAAAGAAATCACAAAGGAGGATTCTCTGGAGGCGCACAAGGTTACTTCGAGTCTGAGCGTATTTACAACAACAAGTGAGAAAGTGCCGAAATGGACTCCGGAAGTCGTCGCCGAGGTGGCGTCCATTGGCGGTCTCGGACCTGTGTCCGTGGGCTCTCCATCTACGGTCGCGGACGAACTAGAGAGATTTGTAAATGAGGCTGATGTGGATGGCTTTAACTTGGGCTATGTGACAACACCTGGATCATTTGAGGATGTGGTGGATTTGCTGGTTCCGGAACTGAGGAGACGCGGGATATATCCTCAGGCTGAGGCGCAGGAAGACGGACTTACTGCTAGGGAGAAGGTTTATGGAAAGGGGCAATCAAAGCTGCGCGATGATCACGTGGGAAGCTCGTATAAGTATGAAGTATATAAGGAAGACGCACCGTATGTCAGAGAAGACAAAGTTAAGGGGGAGTCAGATGTTGGAGGGCAGGTATGAAGGGATGGAAATCTAGGGAAGAACGCTTCACACAACGACTTTATAAAAGCCTCACAGATCAACGAGGTCCAATCGGGAGCTTGCAACGAAGAAATCCTCACTAGTATTACGCTGCTCTTCTTTATTTACTCCGTACGTACGGAGTACTAAATATGTCGCTCTTGTTCGTCCAATAATCATTAAGCTACGGTATGCTTGTATTTCAGACGTTGCCGTATTTGGAAGGTACCATGTAAGATCTTACGATGCTACGCTATCGCGCGGCATACGGAGTAAAAATTAGATGCGAGACCATGACTCACTATCCTAATTTCAATTGCAACAACAAAGCCTCTATACAACTCTCTACCTCTATATAGTGAGATTCAGGTATCCCTCATCTCATTTCAGTTTTCTTCACGAGACTGCTTCGCAAGTTGTGTACGTCTCAGTATCTTTCACGAACCCCACTATTGCTTTGCGACAGCACTCTAGATTACTGTAATCTTCTTTAACATGTCGAGAACATCTACCAGCCTCGAAACACGGGTGGATAACTATCCACCCATTGAATTGGAATTAATTGAGTATCCTCTCCCTACCCGTCACTCAAAGGCTGTTCTAAACAAGGTCGAAGTTCAACAACACAGAGAAGAAAATGTTTGCCCTGAACGCCCAACGAATACATGCGCTCTGTCTATCTCAAAATGGAGAGCCAGCGTTATTATCGGCACCGTCGCCTGTATCAATCTCACCAACTCGATGCTCGGAGGCATTCTAGTCATCAGTCTTCCCAGGATGGCACGTGACCTACGTCTTTCTCAAGACCTACTCCTCTGGCCCGCGGGTGTGAACTCTCTAGCATGCGGATGTATGCTTCTGCTCTCGGGTTCAATTGCAGATGTCGTCGGGGCTCGCAAGGTCTATCTCGTCGGCGCCTTTCTGTTGACCATGACCACCATTGCCTGTGGAGTGTGCAGGACAGGCCTTGAGCTCATTCTGTTTCGGGCTGCCCAAGGTGTTGCGGTTTCTCTATGTCTCCCGTCGTCTGTGATTTTAATCACTAGTAACATCCCCACCGGAACTTATCGAAACACGGCGTTTGCATGTCTCGGCGCTGGACAGCCATTTGGATATTCGATTGGATTGGTTTTGGGTGGTATCTTCGTCGAAGAAATTAGCTGGCGATATGGGTACTATATTGGAGCCGTACTCACTTTCATCGCCTTTATCATTTCTATATTTGGGATTCCAGCCGACGATACAACCATCGAGGGACAATCATTTGGTGTCGTGCTTCAGAGAATAAAGACAGAAATCGATTTGATTGGTTGTTTTTTGCTCAGCACTTCCTTGGGGTTGTTCTCCTACGTCCTCTCTGTTCTCGCTGGTGGTACATCACACTTTCTCGCTCCAACCTCGATCACTTTATTCTCTATCGCGGTTGTGCTCATCCCCATCTTCATCTGGTATACCCGCCGTCAAGAACGACTCGGTCGCAAAGTCATCATCCCACCATCACTCTGGTCCAACCGGGTTTTCGCGTCACTATGTGCCACTATATTCATTATTTGGGGAGTGTTCAGCGCCAATCAGTACTTTTTGACCCTCTTCTACCAGTCTGTACAGCAACTTTCCGGAATCCAGACCTCAATCAGATTTCTGCCTATGGTCGTGACTGGTGCGCTGGCCAATTTCATCACTGGCTGGTTGGTGAAAAGAGTTCGGGCAGATATCCTGGTCCTGGGTTCGGCAGCTATCACGGCCGTAGCTCCGCTGCTTATGGCAATTGTCAACCCAACAGCATCATATTGGACGTATGCCTTCTTCGCCACAGCATGCCTGCCAATCTGTGCCGACGTGCTTTTTACGGTAGCGAATCTCGTGATTACTTCTGTCTTTCCTCCACAGACTCACGGTTTGGCTGGTGGGGTATTCAATACTATTTCCAATATCGGGGGCGGTGTAGGACTTGCCATAACCGCTGTCGTTGCTTCGAGTGTGACGATGGCCGAGAATGGGAAAGGCGAGAGCGCTACCAAAGTTTTAATGGATGGCTACCGAGCCACTTTCTGGCTGTGCTTCGCTGCAAACATCCTCGTGCTAGGTATCGTAGGGTTTGGATTGAGGAAGATTGGGAAAGTGGGCATCAAGACCGACTAAAATGGGCCATCTTGGACATCTGAACCAAGTTATCCTTTGGATTCGTGTGTGGCGAACAACACATTTTTTCACATAGTTCCGTATCTATCATCACTTAGCAGAATGTTAATCATAAAAATTAAATCTTCCAACAACAGCCTCCTAAAACTTCTGCGTAGCGTTATATTTCCTACTTATCCTCCTCAAAATCTTCACATTCTCTTCCTCGTACCCTCGAATCGGCTTCTGCCACTTCTCCTCGTAATTTACATACATATACCGACCCCAGAAGCTTATATCCTTTGAGGTCCTTTGTTGCACTGATTACAGACAGGTATAGATCATAAATGTACATAGTCTTCGGCCAATTCTCCCCTATTACTCATTGGTAAACCCTAGACAAAGTTGCTGCGATATGGAAACAGGTGCCCCGCATTAGAGGTGACCTAACCTCGCAGTGGCTTATTGACAGTGGGCTGTGGGTGATTGCCAAGAATACACAAACTCTTATCCCCGTTCTTGTTCATATATGGCCTAGATAGATTGTACGGTAGAAATGGTGACAAGGAGGAGCTGCGTTGGCTTTCATCCCACAACTGCTGGCAAGGGCTGTCATGTATAGAGTCAATCCACCAGTGTCTCACTAGGACTTGTTTTGCAGCGTCCCAGGTCTTGATACCAGCGCGGACAGTGGCATCGAGAAGGTTTGCTGCAAACCATGTTCTGTAAGAGCCATCAAAAGCACTTCCGCCGATGAACAGTAGCCATAATAATAAGCCGGTCGCCGTGGGAATGGTCGTAAGTTCGAGGACTTGTTTTTGCAAATTCGACAGCATAACTGTATAGTTCACAGCACGGACTGAAGCAGTTCGAAATAGAGTTTCAATGTATAGGATTGCGCCTAAGCGTAACGATTGTTGGACAACAGAAGAATGCCCGGCTGACTGTTGATCCTTCCAGGAGAGAAGTCTATAACGGACATTGATAACCATGGGTTCTAATTCCCTCACCGCGGATGGGGAAATCCTCAAGGAATTGCTAAGTGTTTCGATTTCATAGAGAATGTTGACGAGGTCCTCCTCCAATGAGTTGTTCTGAGCAAGGCTTTGGAACGCGGGAGGAAGAGAAGGGGGGGCCGTCGATGGCCCAATAGTGGCACAACAGCCCACGAATGGGAAACGGGGGGTGGAGCCCGTTTCAATGCATCCCGTGATTTCATCGCTGATTTTGGGATCAGCAATAGAAAGGAGATATTGAAGTTGGTGTACTACTCACTGATATATCTTTTGCCGCAGAAAACTGGGCACCATCACCACACCTCCTCTGACCTCGACAATTCTCTTCAAGCCATTCATATGGATATCCCAATTAGTATAATTCTCTTGAGCATTCTACAAGACCCATATTAGCTTCACTAATTGCACAGGTGTAGAGTCATACCTCGGCCTTCGCTATAAAAAGTATTGTTGTAATTGTAGCGTCCGAAACACTCTCCATCGTGTTGGTTTGTTGAAATTTGGCATTTATGATACTTGTAGCCTCTAGCATATGCTTACGCCGTGGAATCGAGTTCTGTTCACCAGAGAGGAGGCCACCATATATGGCCGACAAACACAAAATGGCATGAAAGAGAGCTGGATCGGTCATAACCATTGGAAACCAAGCCGAATATTTAGGGTCAGACAGCTGAGGGTCCATGGACTGCACTAATGAAGATGCGTCTGCGGATTCATTCGTTACAGAACCAAGGTTGTATGTACATAGGAGAATTACGTACATTGGTGTAGGAGTCTGTGCATATAAGGCTGCATCTGAATAGGGAAGTCGACAAAGGCGGGTCCAAGTGCTGAGGCTTGTGATGGAATTACTAGTGGTGGAGAAAACTCGTACGGGATGTCGTTTCCAGTAAGTGTCGGGGATCGGGTTGAGGAAGCGCTGTTGGACTTCTGTCGTCCCTGCCTGTTGCGACCCCGCATGACATGGGTCCTAATGAGTTTCCGAGCGTCTTCATCCTCTTCACTAGGTTTAGTGACATTGATGAACGCGAATGATTGAGATACTGCTGATTTTGTTTTGGTTTTTGCCGAATGTGACCTTCGGGAAGTTCTAGGCTTGCTATCGAATATCATAATCATGGGCTGGTCGTTCACGTCTCGCATTCTGCCTTGCTTATCTCGAACAATATCAAGCGGAGCATTCATTTTGCCGACTCGCCAATCTAATGGATTTTACCTTGATGAAAACTTTTGTTAAGCAGTATATCTCTTCTCTCGTGACGAAACTTCGAGGTAGCCCCTTGACTAGTCGCTATGCCCAATCTGGCTAATGTTTATAGAATCCACTTGCCTAAAGCGGCAAAACTAGGAGTAGGTTACACCGACCCCGACGTGCTTCTTTGAAACAAGTGAAAAATTGTTATGAACTTCTGGATGAATGTCTTTTAATAGTTAGAGTTGTAGAGACTGTTATCTGAAAATAGTTAGACTATTAGTGCAAGGTTCATTCAATGGATAAACGTCTTCGGATTTAATAAAGACTCGGCGAGCAATGGGGTATAAAAAGAAAGGCGAAAGACATCTGATTCTGTTTTTACTCAAATTCGTCGCGCATTACGAAATACTAAGTCAATAATGGCTCCATTCAACCCAACGACGGATATTCAAGACCTTTCAGGCAAAGTAATCTTTATTACTGGAGGTAGACTCTCCTATCACTTTGTCAAGCACACTCCGCACCTGTAACTTGAGATGATACTAAACAATGATGTACAGGAAATGCTGGTCTTGGAAAAGAAGCAGCTCTCCAGCTCGCGAAACACAAACCTGCACATATCTTCATCGGATCTCGAAGCAAGGAGCGGGGACTTGCAGCTATCGCCGATATTGTCGCTCTTGTACCTAATGCTACCCTCACTGTGGTACAAATGGATCTAGCATCTCTCAGCTCGGTCCACTCAGCAGCGAAACAATTCCTGGCGAGCAGCTCTCGACTGGACATTCTTATGAATAACGCTGGAATCATGGCTGTACCTCCAGCATTAACTGCCGATGGCTACGAGATCCAATTTGGCACAAATCACCTCGGTCACGCGTTGCTCACAAAGCTCCTCTTACCCACAATGCTCAAGACCGCTCAAAAACCAGGATCTGACGTCCGTATTGTTACATTGGCGTCCAGAGGACATCAAAGGGCACCAGATGTAGGAATCCATTTTGAAAGGCTGCACTCAACCATGGAAGCAAGCTGGTCTTTTCTGCGCTACGGCCAGTCGAAGGTTGCGAATATTCTACATTCAAAGGAGCTGGCACGGAGATACCCAGAAATCACCGCTGTTTCACTGAATCCCGGGATAGTCAGGACCGGCTTGCAAGACACCTTGTCTAAAAATTCTTTCGTGGCCAAGATCATATCCCCAATCGTCAATATAATTGCTTCGGTTGGGGTTGAGGAGGGTGCATTAAACCAGTTGTGGGCTGCGACTAGTCCTGATGTAAAGACCGGAGAGTACTATGAGCCTGTTGGGAAGAAGGCTCCGGGTTCGAAACCGGCAAGAGACATGCAGTTGGCTGGGAAGTTATGGCAGTGGACTGAGGATGAGCTCGCTGACCCTAAATTTATGCTTTGAGTTAAAGTTGGTAGAGGAATGGTGAAGGGGTTTAAGATTGCAAATCGAATATATACCAATTTTGTCTCGTATTCTTTGAAACTTAGAGAAGCGTATTAATTTAGATAAAAGAGCAGAGTTCAAAACAACACTCACCTGGTTTTGAAGGCCAGCTTTGGTCCTTGTATAGTCTTATAATATTGTTTAGTCAGAAGACTAATATCATATAAATTGTCCGCTACCAAGGAGCAAACCCTCTTTTGTACTTCATGACTTGAATACTTTAGTATCTTCTCTTTTGATCTTCACTTAGCATCTTCTGTCTTTTCTACTCCCTGTTGTATTCTTGTACGCATTTTACTGGATACGATACTTTCTTTTCAGGTCGTTACGTATACTTGTTTCTGTGTTTTGCACAGTACCTAGTCCTCATTACACCTACTACAGTCTGCATTAGAGTTTTGCAGAACTCCGGAAAGGGTTCCACAGCTCCCTGGCGAACAACGAAGTTATATTCATGATCTTGGAGGGCGGCATGCTATTCATTGCTACGACTTGCCAGACGATCTTCCGTCCCTATTTTGCGCTTGAAGGGAGATGAAATGATGCTCATTTCGGTATGGGGAAGCAAAAGCCTGACAGCAGTCGGACTTCGGATGGCTTTGAGTTGATGGACAAGTCAACCCCCTCATCTGCCGGCGTCCTGTCGAGGGCGTACTAAGGGGTTTTATCTAGCAGTATCCCGTTGTATTACTTAGGATAGCAAAAGAGTTTCGATTGAACGGAAATGATGGTGTATATAGAGAAAGATAAATGATGTGCGCGGATCGATTGGCATTATGTGGCGTAGGTTTTGGTTTGGCAGGAAAGCGAGGCATTATACGGAATAGAACGTAGGGCAGTGTATACAACTTGATAAGAAAAGAACACTGTTATAGTTCAGAAAAGCTGTGTTGCACATTTATATCGTGCTGCTTTGATAGCCAATGACTCAGTATAGCCTGATCGCCTAGTGGCAGCCTCATATGCAAGCTTATGCAAACGAGGGGTTCAGCACCGGAGTCAGCCTCTTAGGCATCAATCTCATTCCCAACTGCAAAAAACCAAACTCTCTATTTTCCCTTCATAGTGACGACGAATTTAACACCATGAGCTTTGGATTCAGCGTTGGCGATTTCATCGCTGCGATCGAGCTCGCCAACAAAATTCGGAAGGAGTTCGTCAATGCGCCGAGCTAGTTTAAAAGTCTTGGAAATGAGTGCGTTTCATGAACAGAATTTTGAATTCTGCTAATTCAACAGACTCCGAAGCCTCTCGATTGTTCTTGGAGATGCCGATATTGTCCTTGCACAAGAGGTGCTTGACGAAAAGCAAAAAAGGGATTTGGACAACATCGACAAAAGCTGTCGGGATGTCCTGGAAGATATGCAGCGAATACTAGACAAGAATAGCGAAGTGCCTTCCACGGATAAGGGTGTTGGCAGGAGAATTACGAGGGTATGGAAGCGCTTTAAATGGGATCCCGAGGAGATTACTGAGCTGCGGAATCGGATTACTTCGAACATCACCCTCCTGAATGCGTTCAATGGACGATTGACTAGTGATAACGTGATCAGGTTGGTATACATCACCAAGGTGATCAGGAACGTCAAGCTGTCCTTGACTGGGTCAGCCCAATTGATTTTGCATCACTGCAGAGTGATATGATCAGCCGGCGACAAAACGGAACAGGACTGTGGCTACTTAAGTCGAAGGAATACATGGCTTGGTCGAGCATGAAAGCGCAAACACTATTCTGTCCGGGAATCCCTGGGGCGGGAAAGACAATCCTCAGTTCGATCGTGGTTGAAGATTTGAACGCAAGGTTTCGGGATGATGAAAGCGTCGGCATCGCGTACGTGTACTTTAACTTTCGACGGCAAGAAGAACAGAAACTGGAGATTCTACTTGCAGGTATCTTGAAGCAGCTAATCCAAAGCCGACATTCTCTACCGGGGAGTATCAAGGCTCTCTATCGTCACCATACGCACAATCAAACGCGATTTCCCAGAGACGAAACACGCAAGGAGCTCCAGTCTGTCATTGCGCTCTATTCCAAGGTCTACATCGTTGCTGACGCTCTCGATGAATGCCAAGATGAACACCGGGCGAAAATCTTGTCTGAAATCTTTGACCTCAAGGTAGATACGGGGTTTAATTTGTTTGCAACCTCGAGATTCATTCCTGATATTATTAGTCGGTTTGAAAACAGCCATCGGTTAGAGATTCGTGCGAGGGACGAGGATGTACGTATATACCTTAACGGCTGCATGTCGCGATTACCAGCATGTGTTCAACGGAGCCCTGAAATCCAAGAAACCATCGTGACCAAAATTGTCACAGCTGTACAGGGGATGCATGTGATCCCAATACACTAGATATAAGTACGCGCTGACATCTGATAGGTTCTTACTCGCGCAGCTATATGTTGAGTCTCTGGTCGGAAAGAGATCCCTTAAAGCAATCAATACTGCCTTGAAGAGGCTCGAGCCGCCGGAACATACGACAGAAAAACATGTCACGGTATCGGAAGCATATGATAAAGCCTATGACGACGCCATGGAGAGAATCAATCATCAGGTGAAAGACAGTTCAGAACTTGCCGAGCAAGTCATATCTTGGATAACTCTCGCGCGTCGACCGTTAGCCACATTGGAGCTCTTGCACGCTTTAGCTATTGAAATTGGAGATTCGGAACTCGATGAAACGAACATCCCAGAGCTTGAAGACATAACGTCTGTATGCGCAGGATTGGTGATAGTTGACGAAGAAAGCAATATCATTCGACTGGTTCACTATACAACACAGGAATATTTCGAAAGGACACACCAAAGGTGGTTCCCGGAAGCACAGGCAGGAATCGCAGATTTATGCCTCACCTATCTTGCCTTTGATTCATTTAATGCCGGGCCTACCGATACCCTTGGAGAATTCCAGGCAAGATTGAGAGATTATACACTGTATAAATACGCAGCGTTGAATTGGGGACATCATGCACGTCTAGCTTCGAAAGAAGCGGATACGCTGGTATTGAGCCTCTTCGAGAGTGAAGCTAAATTGTCGTCCTGCACTCAAGTGATAATCGAGGCCCGAAATGTGGTGCCAGATGTATTTCGATCATATTCCTTGGCCAGCCAGCATGCTGCAAGGCAAATCATCGGAATGCACGTTGCAGCACATTTTGGGTTGAAAAATGTGATATTGAACTTACACGACAAGGGGCAAGATCCAGATCCTAAGTCTGACGACCTTCGAACACCTTTATCGATGGCGGCATCCAAAGGGCATGTTGAAGTAGTCGAGATACTACTTGCTATGAGCGATGTTGACCCAGACTCGACGCCTGCTTCGGGTTCAAAGCCTATTGGGCGAACGCCACTCTCTCTCGCTTCAGAGCAGGGACACGAGGAAGTAGTCAAGCTGCTACTTGCAAAATCTGGAGTCGACGTAAATTCCAAGCGCAACTGGAATAGCGACTCGACTTTGGGATGAGTCCACTATCGTGTGCTGCTTCAAATGGCCACTTATTGGTAGTTAAGCAACTGCTCACCTCAAAGTGCATAGAAGTTGACGTCAATGATGGGGATGGAATTACCCCACTTGGTTTCGCTTGTATAGGTGGGCGTGAGGCAGTAGTCGAGCTGCTGCTCGCAACAGGCAGTGTTGATCCCAACTCTGTGGACGATCGGGGGCGGACGCCATTATTTTGGGCTGCGGATAGAGGGCATGAGGGAGTAGCTAAGATATTACTGGCGACTGGCAATGTCAATCCAGACACGAGGTGTGGCGGTGATATTTTGAGCGGGTACACACCTTTGATGATAGCTGTAGAACGGGGAATAGAGGCATGCGTGAAGGTCCTGCTCGCTACTGGTAGGGTTGATGTGAACCAGGGCAGAGGGACTTCTCATCGTGGTATGACGGCTCTGATGATAGCTGCTTCAGAGGGACACGAGAGCATCGTCCAGCTCTTACTGCAGATCGGCAAAGTGGACAAGGCAATTACTGATAAATACGGGTGGACAGCCATATACTACGCGGCGATACATGGACACGAGAATGTTATCGACTTGCTACAAGACAACGTGGTGGGTATAACTTTGCAGGAATGATACATTAGAGGGGTAGCAAAGGGGGGAAACAATAGCATGGTGTTAGACTTTTGGATTGCGTAGTCAGCGGATCACAGAAGAATCTGTTTCTATAGCTAAAGGCCACGTAATCATATACATACACATTCAAATACAGACATCTCGTACCCCCAAATCCCAATACATGGTAGTGGTTTTATATATCATGTGATCTGGATGTGGATGTGGAGAGTGTCTACACGTGACTCTCGACCCAGGCACCCACGACTGCGGCCTTGAAATGCAAAGAGGCAGATCATCAGTCAACGACCAACTTCAACGCACCACAGCAGCATGAATACAGAACAACTCAAGATGGCCATGACACTCTTAGGGAGGGCGTCGTGAGTCCTACCAGGTCAGTTACCCCTTGCCAGCATGGAGTTGGCGTGAAAGATGCCAACATCAACATCTTTCCAGCATTCCACCACGCTCCGGGGGCTCTCTTAACTTTCCTATATCTTCACCCCTTTTCCCCTTCACCTGCCCACATGTGGCTGCAAAGATACAGCTTCACGAGATGTACAGTTTGAGCCCATTTTCATGTTTCTGACATGCAGAGTGGTGGTGTTTTCCCATCTCTTCCTCGTCCTCCCTTCCCCTCCTACAGTCTCGCTTGGGCTGGCTGGCTCCTCAGTCTTGGGATTCACGCTAGTACCAGCGTACAGTACCAGCGCATATCTTCGCATCAACGCGCCTCTTCTCGCCCAACCACAATCAACATCCACGACATCCACCACCCAAGTATCCATCCAGACAACTTCAATTCCACCAACATCCATTCACAAAAAATCCCACCACCACCACCAACTTCCACCACAACATCCAACAATGGCCGGCGGCAAAGGAAAATCTTCAGGCGGGAAGTCTTCGGGAGGCAAGGTTGGCGCTGATGGAGGAAAGAAACAACAATCGCACTCCAGCAAGGCTGGTCTCCAGGTTAGTATTGCGCAAATCTCTGTTTTGCCTGTAAATGCACCCTTTCCCCGGTTTTGCGAAGGTTGGAGGCCTGCATCGGTTTGGGACGTCGTCCGCCTTCTGTACACCCCGCCATGTCGCGTTATCAACAGCACCATCAACAACAACAAAATCCTTTCGAGGGTCCGATTTCGACCTCTGCATGCGATGCGCAATATCAACTACAACCCCATCATCTATCATAATGCGCGAATCCACCATCTTCCCCTTCGAAATCCGCGACGCGCCTCGAATATCAACAATCCGATTCCTCTATGAATACCTACGTCTATATTTTTCTCCCAGCCACCAACTTTTCAATCTCGATTCACTTGATCCATCGTTGACACTTTCTGGAATGTGCGACACCTGCTAATATGCGATTTCCCAGTTCCCCTGCGGTCGTGTCAAGCGTTTCCTCAAGAACAACACCCAAAACAAGATGCGTGTTGGAGCCAAGGCTGCCGTCTATGTGACTGCAGTCCTCGAATATCTGACTGCCGAAGTCCTCGAGCTTGCAGGAGTGAGTCATTCCATTTCTGCCTAATTTCACGAGATATGTGGATATTGGACATGTGCTAATCCCTTGTTTCTATTCGATAGAACGCCGCCAAGGATCTCAAGGTCAAGCGCATCACTCCCCGCCATCTCCAACTCGCCATCCGGGGTGACGAAGAACTCGATACCCTGATCCGTGCCACCATCGCCTTTGGAGGTGTTCTGCCACACATCAACCGCGCTCTGCTCCTAAAGGTCGAGCAAAAGAAGAAGAAGATCGAGGCTTGAGATTGTGGTCGCGTGAGGCAACAATAATACATTTATTCTTCTCTTTTCCTTGTGGTTCTTGAGGGTGTATGGGGGATTTGCGCTTTTTTATTTTCAGGTTGCGTATGGGCTTCTGAGTTGAGATGATCGATTCAGGATGTAATGATTTTCTCGTTATACATCTCAAGGAAAGACTGGGCTGGATGATCAAGATGGTTTATGGTGGTTGTACTATTACAAGGCAATGGAAACTCGGTCTGCTTCTGGTTCCTGGTTCGGCATGCGCGTGGGTGGTGCCATGTCTGCACTCTACTTTCCCATATGTGCTAATGGTGCCCCTTCCCTGTTACCAATTTGACCCACGTTCTCAAGTGAGAAGCAGAGCTTAGCACGATTCTAAGATGAGTTCACTGTTGGGAATTCCTTGTCACGCTATCCTTCCCAGACATACTCATAGTCAAGTACGTTGAATACGAGTAGAATTGGTAATTTTGACCTTGCTTCAGCCTTTCGAAACCGTACTCTTTGTATCTACATCCTCCTAACTCTCATCCTCATCACCAAACTTCTCACCTCCATCATCCCCATCAAAACGCCTCAAAAACATACTCCGCGCCCGCAATGCCTCTCTCATCTGCTCATCTTCATCCACCGGTGCTCTCTCTATAGTCCTACCCCTACACCTGTTCTCTTCCTCATCTAAATCAACCTCCCAAACCTTACCTTCTTCTCCCCACTCTTCTTTCAATGGACTATTCGGCTCACTAGCCCCTACTACCCCTTCCTCTCCAAGCACTAACGCCTCGATACTTTTCCTGCGTTTACTCCTCGTATACTCTAATCGATACCCCTCTTCACCCAATCCGTCACAATCCCGAATCTGTACATCCGCCTCGTCACTCCCTTTAACCACCATATCCAAATACAAACTCTTCAACTCCTCTTCACTCAACTCTTCCTTCTCACTACCTTCCCCCTTCTCAACCCGCCAATAGACATCCCTCAACAGCGCCGCCTCTTTCTCCCTCTGTCTCTGCTCCTCCCAGCGCGTAGAAAGCATCGCCTTCTCCCTCAGCAACGTAGCCCGGTAGTTATGGCACTCGCTCGGAAACGAGCAATCAATCCAGCAGTTTCGCTCTTCCCAGCGCGGCGTAAGCGGTAAGTACACATCATCGGAATCAGAGTCGGACCACCGTCCTTTTGTGTTCGTACTAAGACCCTTCCGCTCAGCTAATATCCTCTGCACTTCCCGTCGCCAGATGTTGTAGTTCGACCACCCTGTATAATCGAACTCCGCGCGGCATCCACGGGGAGGATGTCTTTTACCTATATGACGAATCATTTTGTCAGTCTCAACACATGTTTTCCTTCCAAACTTTCCAACCTTTTCACAAGCAAGCAATGCAATACATACACTAAGATGAGATGGGATGTGATGGAGAGGTACAACATACTCTTCTTCCCGACCGGCGTAGGCGGCGGACTCGGCACGCTACAGAAATAATGGCCGTCTTCCAAACACCTCCTCGTGATGCCCAGGCGATACGTCCGCATACACACATGGCATCTCCAGATCCAGGCGTGCGGGCTACTAGGCGCCATGGCCAGGAACTGCGGCGAGAGCGGCGGCGACGGGATGAGCGTCCGTT